GGTGGTATATGGGAACCTCTGTACCTTCCCCTCAATTTGGCTGTGAACCTAAAACTGCTCTTAAAAAATTAACTTTCAAAATTGTAGAATAGATAAACAAGATTACACTGTATAGCACAGGGAAATATACACAAAATGTTATGATAAATCACAGAGAAAAAAATGTGACAATGAGTGTGTATATGTCCATGAATGACTGAAAAATTGTGCTGAACACTGGAATTTGACACAACATTGTAAAATGATTGTAAATCAATAAAAAATGTTAAAAAAATTAACTCCTTTCAAAAAACTAAAAAACAAAACAAAACACATGGGCTTCTCAACTACTTCTGGGCCCAGAGCAGCCCCCACCTTGGTTAGCGGAGAAAGAAGAGGCCGAGGCCAGTCAGCCCGCTGGCCCCAAGCCCAGGGTTTCTGGGCTCCCGTCAGCTGACTCACTTCTCTGCTCTGGGCCCCTGGGCTCCCAGTCTCATGGGCTCATCCTCCCTTCTCATCCCCTTTCCTGCACATCAGAATCTGCAACTAACACACTAGCATACATCCCCAAACAGCAAAGCCAGGCCTGAGGCCAGAAATCACTTTCTGTACCAACCAGCAGATTCTAAGCACACACAGGCCCCTGGATACTGAGGCCTGGTAGATGCCAAAGAGCTGGATGTGAATCCAAACTGGATTCTCATTTTAGGAAAAGGTGATTCCAAAATGTATCAATCCTTCTGTGGCATTTGAAAAGCCAAATCCAGAAACAAAACATTTCTCATGTACAGGTCAACATAACAGTCCCTAAACAACAAGGACCTACTGTACAGCACAGGGAACTATGGTCAATACCTTGTAATGGTCTACAATGAAAAAGAATATGAAAAGGAATACATATATATAACTGAGTCACTATCCTGTACACCAGAAATTAATACAACACTGTAAACTTACTACACGGCGATAAAAATAATTTCTTTTTTAAGATAAAGGTCCCAATCACTGCTACAAATCTATGAAACATTTAAGCCCCCCTCCCCAGGAGTAAAGGGAGACACCCCTGTACTGGGTCTGTGATGTGGGCTTTCCTGAGCCAATAGAGCAAAAGGGTGGAGGGGCCTTTGAAAAATTTCAGCGAGAGGCCCTGGAAATTAAGCATGCATGAGGGGAACCACATCAAGAAAGGAGTGCGATATTTTAAATTTAGTGTAATTGGGCCTAATTTGGTCCAAGAGCTGTCTGACATTCAAATTGCCGTTCTGCAACACTGAAGACAGCACAGACACTTCCTCTGGTTTCAGTACTTTCTCCAGAGCAGCCAGGGCGGGGAGGCTGAACCTCAGGAGAGAAGTGAAGAGTGAAGGAGAACTGTGGCAGCTGCCACCGTCCCCAGGCTGGTGGGAATAAAAGCAAGCAGGAACCTAAGAGACAGCAGAGCGCGTTTTGAATGTTACTGAAGAATTGTTTGACAAGTATTTACATGTTGCATATTAAATTATGCAGTCCTTTTACAGCCATAAATATTTCAGAAAGGAGACTGAGTGCTGAGCACATCCAAAATCTCAGGAGCCAGGAAAGAACACAGTTTCTTCAACAAAACCCATCTGATCCTTAATTACACAAACCAAAGGAAACTTCTGTCAGCTAAGGCAAACTCTCTTCTTAGCTGACCAGAGATGGGCAGCTCAACAAACACACTCCTCACCTCCAGAAAGGAAAAAAAAAAAAGCCGTTAAAGGCATTTTACTTCTGGGAAGCTGCTGGCAGCAGCACCTGTGGTTCTGGAGTTAATGCAATTACCCTGCTCCTCCGCCAAAAGCGCTGGGGCTTTGCGTAAGCTTTTACTGTTACTCCTCATAGACCACATCCAAAGGGCTCCTGCCTCAGGGCCTTTGCACTTGCTGTGCCCACTGCCTGGAGAGCTTTTCCTGTTATCTTCTCTACATCTTTACTCAGATGTCATCTGTTCTGTCAGATGACCATCCTACCCATAATTTCAGCCCTCAGTCTCTTGAGTATCTGGATGGTCTTACCCAGCTCCCAGTACTGCTGTCTTAGATAAAGATGGGAGGATAGGCCTCTGTGGGGAGATGCCCTTAAGACCAGAACCTGAAGGCAATGAGGAAACAAGTCACGGGATCATCTGGGGAAGCACAGCACAGCCCCAAAACCCTACATTGGCAGGTTGAAACCAGATTGTTTCTCCATTTCCTATTCCAGGGTGGCCTCTCAGCTAGCCCCAGGCAGCCTCTCCAGCTTCAGTGCCCACATTGTCCGGCACCACCACCAACCACTCTGCACCTGCCACCAACTCCTTGGTTCCATCTGCCTGGCTAGAATGTCCCTCCACCACCTCCTCCGCCAGCCTTCCCTCTCTGGGCTTCCAAAATTGTCCTCAGCTCCCTGCTTCCAGGCCCCTTGCTCCATATTTCTGTAGTGCCCCCCTCATATCCTGCCTCTGGCTGTAAGCACCAGACTCTTACTCTCTAAGCACTGGGTACTATTACTCTGAGTTCTTCTCTCCTCAACTAAAAGATTAAGACTCTCCAGGGAGAGACTGATTCACTTTCGAGTCTCCTGTAGTACCTAACCATGCTCTGCACACAGTCACTTGTCAGTGACTTACTACCCCATCTGCCACCAGGTCGTGCATTTGGACACTGCGACACTTTACTCTTTCCCTGTGTCTCAGAAAGGCTGTTTGATCAACAGCATTGAGAAGCCACTGGGAAGAACAGAAGCTCTTGCCTCACCCCCTCACAAGCACAGAACTCAGGAAAGGCTCCCTCTATCAGAAGATAAAAGAGCCGAAGGTCTGGCCGTTGATGGACCATGTGCCATTTCTCCATCACGATCTGATGGGGAGCAAAGCAGGCAGCTCAAAGCAGAAAACCAAAGGGAGACTCTGTAATCAAGGAGAAAAGCAGAGAGAAAAATAGCTTTGCCTGGCAGAAGGGAAAAAAGAAAAAAGCTGCAGGATGTCCCATCCGAGCAAGGAGAAGGCAGGTGAGCGGAAACCAAGACAACACAGTACCAAGGCCATGTCAGGGTGTTGTGTGTGTCACAGCGTTTCGTGCTCACTGCCCCAGGAGGTATGCGCTGTCAGCCCTCCATCACCAGCGGGAAACTGAGGCCGTGAGGTGCTGAGAGCCTGCCTCCGGTTCTGTCGCCCTCCCCTGACTCTGTGCTGAGGGAGGGGCTTTCAAAAGTGGCCCAGAAACTCAGTCTGCCAGACCCGTGCCCCCCGTTGCCCTCTGTTGACGCCAGTGCAGCTGTTTTCAAATTCTTATCTTTTGCCCTTAAAGGAAACCCAGTAAAGCAGAGCTCAGGGGAGCCTCAGAGTGGGGGCTGGGCCAGCCAGCCCCTGCCCTGCCCCCCTCCCCAGCCCACTGAAGACCCCTGGCTGCCCAGAACGCGGGAGAGACCTCCCCCAACCGTGTTCTTCCTAATCCCTTTGGGACTTCCTTTAAAGCAGCCCTGGTTACCTGCTTCAGGAAACGGAGATCTCATATTAACAAATGTCTGTGAAAATTCACGTTAGTAAAAGAGAAAGCAGGGCAGAAGAATCAGCTCTGGTCCCTCGGCCACCAGCGAGGGCAGAGGGAGGACTGAGGTGCAATCCTGGTGTCTCAGAGCCACCGCGGTGATGCTGCGCGAGGACTCACCTTAGCTCACGTAGCCCTAGCCGCCTCTGGGCCAGCACCGCCCGACACATGACACCAAGCAAAGAACCATCCCCAAATTCAAATAATGCGTCAAGTTAGACAGTGACATTCACAGGCTCCTGTATGCCTAAGCCAGGCCCAGACCACAGTCAGGGACAGACCACCCTGCCCTCTGAAATAAACCAAAGGCACAGGGTCCCACCAGTTCCCAAGTAAAGGCACATCTCCCCCCAACCCCGACCCCTTTTTTTAATTGCACTGTAGTTATATGTGTGTACGTACATGTATAACTGAATCGCCTTGCTCTACACCTGAAAAGCACATCTTGTCTGTCAGTTGTGGGCTCTCCGAGCAAAAGCACTTCCACTCCTGATTTGTGCCAGGCAGAGGCTGCAGATCCCGCGGGACCGGGGGAATGTGACATCAAAGCAGACCGCGGCCACTTTTTGCGCAGCACAGATTCACGGGCACTTGGCCGGGGTGGTCACTCTGCGGCTTGGTTTGGTTTGGTTTTGTTCTGTTTTTTCCCTCCAGGTGCTTTGGTGGGTGGTGTTCTGCAAGCCAGCCCTTCTCAAGCCAACTTTTTCTTTCTTTTTCTCAATGTTTCTCATCGGCTGAGTCTAGTCGTGACTCACGGATACCCCGGTACCCCACCCCCACCCCGCTTGCCCGGCCGCGTGTGTGCCCGCCCCTCCTTCGCCCTCCCCAGCGCCTGCCTCTGGGGGTGGCACTGGCTCTCCGCGGTGACCGTGCAGACAGCCAAGCCGGAGGTCACGCCGGTCACCAGGAGCGGGTCACCAGGCGCTGCCGGGCGTGGGAAGGGGGAGGGGTGCGAGTTAGCAGGTGGTCCGTGAGGAAACTCCGAACTCGGGTGGCCCCGAGGAGCCGCTCCGCGCTCGGGCGTGGAAGGGAAAGTGCAGGGGCGGCGCGAAGGGCCGAGAACCGCTAGGCAAAAGGGGTTTCCCCTGCAGGCGAGGAAGGGTAATGGTCAGAGGGAGCCCAGGGTGAAGGGACCCGGCGAGAGGCTTCCAACGTGGATCCCACCGAAGGCCCCCGGGGGATACAGAAGACTCCGGGGGAGGGAAACGAGAAGGGGTTGAGGTGAGCACGAGGGACGAGCGGCGTCTCCCGCGGCGCTGTGACCTCCGGCAAGGCAATCGTGCCGCCCACCCCAGCCTGGGATAAGCAGGCCACCCAAGGCTCCGCACGCGCCGCACGCCCAGAGAGCGAGGAACTGGCGCTCTCGGCCGCGGCAGAGTCACCGCGGGACCGGGACACAGTCGGGATCTGGGTGGAGCGGGGAATAGAAAGGAGGGCGGAGGGAACTCGAACCCAGCGGGGACGCCCGCTTACCCGGCCGTTGCGATCGGTCTCCTGCACTTCCTCAGCGCTGGGGCCCCGCCGCACCAGCGCCCTCAGCAACCCCACGTCGTTGGCGCTGGCGGCGCGCAGGAGGGTCGCCGCCTCCGGGACGCCCTCCGGGACGCTCTCCGCGCTCACTGAGCTGTACTCCTCCTCGCCTTCAGAAGGGTAGAAGGAGTCGTCTGAAGCGATGCTATGGGTGTCTGGCAGACTCGAGA